CCTCTACCAAGGAACTCCTACTGCCATGGAAAATGCAATTTCTGTAGTTTCCCTGCCCAAAATTCTCCCTCCTCAATTATGCTGACTGTAGCAGTTTTTGCATGCACAAGAGCTGATCTGGTAGCCCCACTTACATCCCTTGATTTTCCTACAGCTGATGTGTTGGCGGACCTGTGGCGCACAGCAGAGCTGGCCCTGCAAAATTCCTGTCATTGAGGTTAGAGGTGATACCCCTCCTCTTCTGGGTACCCACCCACCATATCTCAGGTCTCGTGAGGGAGTTGAAATGCTCATTTTTGGCAGCCCACATTCTGAAAGTTATAGCCTGGTGGCTTCTCCTGAAATGCTTGAGACAAAAATACATTTCCTGTTTAGAAAGAGAGAGAAGATAAGCCCTGAAGTGCAGCCGCCTGCTCTGGCTACCTCAAGTATAAACAGCCTGCGCAGCCGAGCGCTGCTTTTGTTTGTTCTAGTGGCTTTTTAAAGGTGCATTAGACGCAATTATACAAAGTCCATTTTCTGGCAGCATCACTCCCGACTGGTACGAGAGGTCTGGGGCTGTCGCCTTGTCAGGAAAGATCCTTCTAAAAGCCCTCAGTGTCCAGCATGAATTCCCACCTTTATTCTCGAGGCGACAGCCCCAAGCACCACCAAAGTATGTTTCTACTTTGCATTTCTCTAACACTTTTCCACCTTGGTATCTGAGTGCTCTGTAAATAGTTACTCCTCACCTCCCTGGGTGGGGTGCCGAGGATGGGTTTATTTTCTCGGCTTACAGAGAGCAAAAGGTTTGCATTGTGAGTCAGCAGTCTGCAATCAAGTTCAGGACTCACGTTTTCTGTAATTAAGCACAAAATGGGCTTAAAGCTACCTTTGGCCAATCTGGGGCTGTTGGGGCTTCCAGACTAAGTCAGAGCATCCATGAAATCCCTCTGTGCAGCAAGATTAAGATCTGTAGAGAAGACCAGGATTGTGCATTCTCTCTGTGTAGCTGCGGCAGAAGAGTCTGAGCTGTCACAGCGTACCCTGTGCCCAGGGTAAAGCCGAGATGCTCTCCTGCTCTCTGGCTCCTTGTTTTATTTGCCGTATGTGATGGTGCCTAACCCCTGTCAATATTCTAGCAGATACCGTGAGCTCCACTTGGCCGGGTACATGAGATTTAGATAAGACCAGGGCAAATCTGGGCTATGATCTAATCAGGCATGACCAGCTGAGATGGCAGTTGACTCTGTTATTTCCCCTTTTGATAAATTAATCTAGTTTGCAGATTCCCATGATGGCTCAATCCTGTAATGTTCTGAACCTTCTAGTCCTGCTTCAGCAAAATGATTAGGTCCATTTATAAGCCAAGGACTGGATCTACTGAAACCAGTAGCGTACACAATGTCAGGCTCTTATTGCCATGTTCAGATACCAAAGTATGTGGTCTAAATTTTCCGAGTTGTTGATCCCACAAAAGATCCTACTGGGCCCTTGCCAAAGTGCTTCTGGGAACTAGGTGTGGGATCCTCAGTAGCTGTCAGCGTGGAGCCCTGCAACAGGACAATGTATAACGTGCTCTGAAATCCTTGGTTGGTTGGTGGATGAGTTATGGGAGCACATAAGAAGGCTCAGGAAATGCCTAGTCTTTTGGTCCTGCTCAGCTGTGGGGAGTTGTCGTCTGGCAGATGTGAGATCTGTAAAGCTGTAGTGGAAGGAAGGAGGACCTGAGCAGGGAGGAGTGGAAGTTCCACCACTGCGTAGTTGTATTTTACTTCTCGTGATGATGTGTGCCTTCTTTCCTTCTGATAATGTTTATAAAATGACTGCAGAAGGCCCTAGCTGAGGCCCTGTAGGCAAGCATCGGTGTTTGGGAAATTGGCACTCGAACACCGCATAGGTGCGTGAACTGGTGAGAGGGAGTGCAGGGGAAAAGCTGCCCTTGCAGCTGTTCCTGCTGTGTTCGGGACTGTGAAACTCAAATTTGTGCTTGCTCACAGCCACGCAAGTGGTGTCCCTGGTGTGCTGCCACCTTAGTCTCTCTTCTATATGTCTCTGCCTGTAGCTTCCAGTGCTTATTCCTCCAGAGGGGAGTAATGTTTGTTAATTTTTTGTTTTCTTCTTTATCTATGCAGGACTAGTACCTTGCAGTCAGCTTAGAAAAAAGCATGGCCTTGTCCCAAAGAATTTACCTGTCATGAGCAGGAGGCAGTAAATGAAAGCAGTGGCATTGTGGAGAGGAAGGGGCAAAAGTTGTGCAAAGAAAAATCGAGTAGAAGAGCTCAGGGTTCCTCTCTGCGCTCCTTGTACTGGGAACTAATACAGGATGGAGCTAGTCCTGTACAGCAGAAGCCAGGTGAGATGAAGGTGTGCTTTAAGCTAAATGTGAAAATGCCTTGCTGAAGAGGGAGGAACTAGAGCTATGTTCACCTGCGGCTAGAACCCACAAATGCTTTCCATGGAGGGGCAGAGTCTCTGGCTGGAATTTGAAGAGATTATTGCAATAAAGATACATCGCACCAACTGGAGCCTTTATCAACAGGTTGCCAAGTGCTTGTCAGAGTGCATAAATATTGTTATCACTACTTTATTAAAGGGAAAATGAGATGAGAGATGGGAAGGCTGAAATATTTGAGTAGCACCTAACTTCTATAGTGCCTTAATTGAAGGGCATTGGTCCTATGTGCTAGGAATTTAAGTGAAGCATGAATGAACTAGTATTTGAAGTAGCAGATTATCAGTTGTCCTGATCTGCTCTGTCAGCTATAGTTAAACCCACTTTCTGTCTGGTAAATCTAGAAAATGTGATCTGCCTGCTAACAATGTTAAGTTCCCCTGCCTCTGGTCTGGACCACCACTTCTGAACAAACCCTGTCCGTCTCCAGGAGGTATTGGTCTTTTGTACTGGTATGGAACTGTAAACGTTCATCTATCTCATGACTTTTGAGAGGAACAAGCCAGACTTTCTATGACTTGCCCTGTCTCCTGTTGTTAGTATAGATGATACGTGGAGCTGCTGTTTTGCTCTCCGACTCGCAAAGCTTCGCAGAACTCTTGGCCTCTTGAAACAGTGCCAGCACACTGTGGCGTTCAGTGAAACGAGCAGAGCCTCCTCTTAGTGACAGTCCAGGAGTATCCACCACCACAGCCTGCAATTTCTTTTTTAAAACTGGCTACTTGTGCCTGAACCAAGATCACACAGTGAGTCAGAGCCGGGAATAGAAGATAGGAAACTCAAGTTCAAGCTGCTAGTCTAAGCACTGAGCCCTACAATGCCGAGCTCCTCGAGCTCAGTGTAGGCACAGCATTTGGGAATCCACCTAGTGAGAGTCATACGCTCCAGTGCAAAAGAGGAAAAAAAAAAAAAAAGAAAAAAACCCAGCACTAACAGCTATTTAATTGCTTGTGAACTTCCCTGACTAGAAAACAGGGGCAGTTCTCCCCACCCAAATTTGGACTCTGGCACTTGACCAACTTAAGTCATAGCCTAGCTCTTCAGCGGGTTTTGGGCGGATTTTTTGGGGGGTGGTTTTTGTTGTTGGTTTTTTTAGTGAGTTCCTAGCTGTATCTGGTGTGCCAAAAAACTTTTTGCAGGAAACAGCAGTGTCCTTTCTCCTTGTCAGCCACCCCAGTGAGTGAGTTCTCATTAGTTCAAGTGACAACAAATGCAGGTGCTTCTCCGCTTTTTCCATGTAGGGTGAGTCCTTTCAGCAAACTTTGGGAGGGAACAGCTGCTCGCAGTGAAAACAAGACTATCCTGCTGATCCAAGCTGAAATGTGACATGGAAATGGGATTTTTGACCTTGAGAGGTACAAAGTTGCTCAAAGGAGGGACCCTGTGAAGATTAAAAATAACTAAATCTTTATAATGCTTCTGCAACTAGTAGAGCTGGATGAATACATTGCAAAACAGAGGGCCAAATCTTTAAATAGCATAAACTAGCACAAGTCTTTTGATGACCTATCAGCTGAAGAACTGGCCCCAGCATTTGCAAACATTAATTTCAGAACAGCTGTTTTTGTCAACTGCATTCTTGTCTCATTCTTCCTATCCTCTGTTCGTGAGTGCTCACACACACAAAAAAGATATTTGTTGATGCAGATGTTTAAGGAAAGCTGTTCTTTCTAAGGGTTCTCAGCTCAAGGGGTGTATGTATGAATAAGAGCGCTCATTTTTCCTCAACTCATGGTTCTGTCCAGCTATGGTTAGGCAAGTTAGATACCGATACGCTGTCTAGATCTCTCTGTACAAGCATATATATTCTGTCTGTCTCTCTCCCTCACACGCCATGTGATTTTAAGCAGTCATCTACCATGAATAATGTCCAGGGGCCAGGTCACAAGCTTCCCATAGCATGGAATCCATTTGCATACAATCCAAGCAATTACAAGTAATGAATAGATTAGTAAAACCAAACAAACCAAGAAACTATTCATACCGCCGGTAACTCTCGAGCAGAAAGGAGGAAAGAAAAGGGGGGGGGGGAATAAAGAAAAGCAGCAGGGCTTTCCTGAAACGCAAGTTATTGGCGTGGAACGACTCGTCCCCGCTCCATGCGTAACCCACGAGGCTGATGGCAGCGGGACTCGCTCCGCGGCCGAGGGGCCGCTCTCCCCGACGGCGGCGGT